AGCAGAGCCCACAGAGATTAGTGAGGCAGAATTTAAAATTCCAGGTTACGTGATTGAGATTGACAGGAAAGGAGTCCCTGGCATAAGAAGAGGAGGAATATTCGATTCGTGGTACAATAAACTTATTGTCCTGACGTTTCGGGTTTTCACTCGAATCCATCATCTAAAAACAGTCGCAGAAAGAAGTAATACCGGCACAAAGTACACAGTAGCTATAGGACGCAGTCCCTAGGCCACCATTTGTCTAAAATATTAGCAGCCGTTATGTCTATCGCTAGGCAGGTCCATATCGGAGTCGTTAATTGCAGTGATTTCATCACTGTTCGATTCTTAGTTTCACGATTGCTCGGCAGTTCGGGTTGACGTCACTGTGACTGTTGCTTGTAATTGAGCATAGACGAAATCGCAGCACAGAATGTGGAACCGGAGGGTCACTGCGCTTGGGGCTAAGAAATCATGACTTGAACAGCTCGCAGCTCGCGCGGTTGCCCCCTCTCGCGAGAAGTTCGGCCCTGTTCAATGAGCCGCGATCTGTGACTTAGTGTTATTTCTCCTTGCCACTGCGTTCGGTCGTTCGTGTTCAGAGCAGTTTCATCGACGTAGTTGCTTTGTTTGCAATTATAGAAGGTCCGGTAAACGACTCCAGACGTTTCTTGTCATAGCGGTAGGTTTTACGGTCTAGTGAACTGGTGCCAAGTGATTGTCCACAGCTTGTGCGCAGCTCCGAGGGGTTTGAGAATGCGGCTGGCGGTTTCCGATAGGTTCTTTACGTACGGGAACGCTCACCAAAATTTTGGGGCGGTTGAGGGTTTCTCTCTGGTCGCGTTTCCGCATATGATGGCTGGGAAAGTTGTGCGGATAACCATTTGTTCTTAAGTTAATGTAGTACGGCAACCTCGTCTACCTTTTAAATGCAATTAATCTCGACACGCAGGTATAGAGCTCCTTAACAACTGTTGGTATTAGTATGATGATCTCATTTCTTGAAATGTGCGAAACTCTATTCAGTTCTGTTAAAGTACATGATCTAATGGCTTCTGGTCCCTCACACAAGCGTTTTGGGACTGGACAAACATCCTTGTTCGAAGTCTCCTGTGTACGACGTACTTCGTCGAATGCGACAAAAGGGGATATTTGTAGAGTTTCCCCAGCCTCAAGAAGTCGAAAGGTCTTATTGTCCTCTGAGCATTCTTCAATTCCCACCATCGCATCGATTGTTGTTTTTCACACGCAACAATTTAACTACATATCAACAGGGCTAATTTTAAACTCTTGATCGATATAGAAAGTTATGGGTTACGTTTCGCCCTTCGTAGCGCTCATGAATATGTGGAAAAATACTAAATAAAAAGGGAAGATATATAGGGCCACCAACGCCATAACTAGTAGCATGTAACTACACGTTTTTATCTCGATCAAATACGAAGGTGCAAGTTACGATGGCACCGATACTCTATTTGGTCATGACCTCCTCGGGATCCACAAGTATTGAAATTACATTTGGTGGACCTAGACCTATGTTCTCATTGTGTTATGTGCCTTCTGTTTGTGTTGAGACCGTTGGCTCGTTTCCTCCTA